AATCACAACATGCACAGGGAATGCTTCCAGTCTCCCCCCCCCACTGAGGCCCAAGCTTCCACACGTGAAGTTGCTTAGTGGACAAAACCTCTCATACCTGTGAACATGACCCCACAATGCAAGGGTCACCTTGTTCTTCACCAAAAGTGGTTCTAGGTGCTCGAGCATTCTGTTCCTCAATGGGGCATCTCTAAGTTCATTGCTCGTTGTGTACATTGCCTGTGTCCTTGGACGACCACAAAGGGGTCTTTGCTCTATCAACTGATTCTAAATCATTTTTTATGAAGTTATACTGGCTGCTCCCGGTAGAAATTGGTTTCAGTTGATATATCAACAAAATGCACCACCCCCACATCAAATGAGTAGTAAAGGTTTCGAGTGGCTGGGGCATGTGTTCCAGTTGGTTCTGAAGAATTTCCAGGCATGTTGAACCGGAGACCATATGGTACTCCACATTCACCACCCCCATCGCTCTCAAATATTGAGTAGGACCATTCAGGTCTCCATGGCTGTAATGGCCAGTTATATTCATGATTACCGATACACACGTGGTAGGGGACCTTGGAGGCCATAGGTTCAATCTGAGTGAAAAAGTTGTCCCACAACCATGAGTAGCCTCTTGCATAGCTGATATCTCCAATATGTGAGACAAGGGTAGGCTTGTCACCAAGAGCTTCAATATCCCGACTGATCCACTTCGTGGTTGATATGCTTTCCTGTGGCGAATGGTCAAAGGTGTTGTATGGTGTTGCAGTACCCACATCTCCAAATAAGAAAGCTACTGTTTCGTCTGAGTATCCATCATGCGACACGAAACTGTAAATGACACTCCGACCCCAAGAATCACTTCCAACCTATGTTATATAAATGCAGAATGTGGTATTTGTACAACAGAGAAGATTAATTGTTAGTAATCATATTTCCTTGATGGAGACTATTTAAACTAATTTTGCAAATGGGCTAAAAAAGAATGTGGCTTCTGGAATACACAACACGTTACAAGGAAACGTAACATCAACTGTACTATAACAGGCTTATTTAAGTCACAAAGAAAAGGCTTTTACTAGCTGTGGTGTACTGGAACATGATCATATCACCAATTATGCAACCCAGGAAAGGCCAACCTGTTACTGATCTACGCAGTAGTATAGCACATAAAAAAAGAAATGTGCGTTGGTGTGATTTTGTGTATATTTATATGGAAAGATTGAAGATTTGGTAATTAAATTTATAATTATATTGTGTCATTTGAAGTTGAATGATAATAGTGGTGATAAATTTATGAGTTTTATCACTGAGTAAAATTTGGTTGATTTTATTTATCGCTTAAAAATTATAAATTTAATTGTGTTCTGTTAATTTTTTTTTTTTGGCTTGAAGTATTTTTTACATGGGAATAGGGTGAATTAAAAATATGATGGTTGGGTTTATAATTATGTTGTGTTATTGGATTAAGTAGTAGTAAATGTGATAAATTTATGAGTTTTATAAATGAACAAGATTTTATTTATTATTTAAAGATTGTAAATTTTAATTGGTTACGTTAGTATTTTTTTTTTCCAAAGGCATTTGTATATGTGACATTGTTTTGGGGAGTTTTTATATATTTTTATGATAGTCCCATTAATATGGAAGATATGGTTGAAGATATATTTTAAGTAATTTTATAAGAAGAATGGGTATAAATATTTTTAGATCATTTTTTTTGAATTTGGACAATTATTTTAAATTTTTTTGTTTGTTGTATAGTGCCTTCAGACACGGATAATGACTAATATATCTATATAATAAAGTAATTAAATGGTTTGTCTTTAACTTTTTGTAGTTTAGATATTTTGAGAATTATTGATCCGACAATCCTAATTGGACTTTCATTCGTTTTATAAACTTTAAGACTCTTATCTTTAATATAACTCTCTCTTGCTCTTTAACTCGTACACCCAATTCTCATTTGTATATAACTCTTTCTCCGGATATTTTAAACACACTCTCACATCTCTCATATAATTATCTCTCTCTATTTCATACCTTTTTAAAACACACTCTCACATCTCTCATACTCTCTCTCTCTTAACATTGTTTGTCTTGACGATCATAATTAAACTACTTTAGTCAAAACAAATTAAAAACTTTCATCTCTCATATAACTCTATCTTCCTCTCTATTTCATATACCCAACTCTCATACGCATATAACACTCTCTCTCATACATTTTTAACACATTATCCCATCTCTCATATAATTATCTCTCTCTATTTCATATCTCTTTTAAACATACACTCTCACATCTCTCATACTCTTTCTCTCTCCATCTTTCTTAACTTTGTTTGTCTTGACAATTCTAATTAGACTACTTTATCCACAGAAATTTAAAGTCAAGCTAATCATCAATAAAAAATAAAAAAAAAGTGATACCAATTACTTCAAAAATATAAAAAAATAAGAGTCAAGCTAATTACCAATAAAAAAATAATAAGTGTTACTTATTATACCAAAAAAATAAAAATTTAAAGTCAAGTTAATTACCAATACAAAAAAAAATAGAACCAAGCTAATCAATAAAAAAATAAATGATACCAATTGCACCAAAAAAAAATTTAAAAAATCAGAGCCAAGATAATTATCTATAAAAAATATTAAGTGATACCAATTGTACCAAAAAAATAAAAAATTCAAAGTCAAGCTAATTACCAATTAAAAAAAAGTAAAACCAATTGCAAAAAAAAAAAACAATATGTAAAACCAATTATAACATTTTTTTTCCTTATTTGCACCATTTTTTCCTTGCTAATGTTTATATTTTTTTGAATACTTGAATAGTGCAAAATAAACACCGAAACAATAAAAATGTCAGTTAAATCAATTTTTTTTGAAGTGGTGAAATTTTAATTTTGTTGATTTGGTTTAATTGTAGTGTGAGAATATTTTTATAGAATTCGAAAAGTCACAGCAGAAGAGAATTTAAATCAATTGTCATTGTAGGTACAAGCAGATCTGCTAAGCAATGTTTGTTCGATCAGACTTTTTTCTATTTTTTAGAAATTTGATTTGCAATTCAATGTGGTTAATTTGTTTGGTTCGATTCAGTTATTTAATTGTGTGTTTTTAATGACATTCGTTATTAAAATTAGACAGTCTATTCATTAGCTTTAGCCGGAGGTTGAAAAAAAGAACACTTATTTGGTAGAAAGAAGAGGTTGAAAAAAAAAACACTTATTTGGTAGAAAGAAGAGCTGCAATGAAAAAATTTATGACATGATAATTTTGTAATGGTATTAGTTTAAGTTCATGAGGATTCTTCGATTGTATTAATGTGATATGATTCTTTCTTATTTCAATTATTGAATTTTTTTTATTTAAGACATTCGTGGATCCCTCTTTGTTTGGCAATTTTTTTGTGTTAAAAGTATCTTCAGGCACGGGTAATGACTGATATATATATATACACATTATGTTACTGTTTTTGTTGAGTATGTTACTACTATTGTTTTCTTAAATATTAATATTCAATGTTATTATTATTTTTTTGTTTGTAAATATTATTATTTTTTGTGTTTAAATGTTACTTTTTTTTTTTTTGTTACTATATGTATGTATGTTATATGTGTGTGTATATATATATGAGGGTGCGAAATAAATACTTAAATACTCCTATTCTATGTATGAATATAAATAGATATGAAAGAGAATTTTAATGTTAATCAAATTCTTAAAATTTAAAAGTCGTTAGTTTTCAAATTTATTTTAATTAAACATAACTACTTTTTATACAAGCTTCCCCTTATTACCAAATAAGTCCACAAAAAAAAAAAACTGGCCTCCAAATTTACCTAATTTTTATACTTCATAGCCTTTGGAATGGTATAGGTTTTGATAAGAATTTGCCGTTGAATATATGGTGTTGATTTGTAAATATACATTAATTACTCGATACCATGACAACCAATATTTACTCGATGGGAGTAAACTTAATTGCTATCCCTACTCGTTGGTAAGTAACCGAACGGAAAAAAAAACTCAATTTCAGAAAAATTAGACTAATCATCAAAATGAACAGTGGTCTTATAGCTCAAAACCACTCAAGTTCCGTGAAAAATGAAACCCGCCATGGTGCCATACCGTATTTATTTTACAGAAATGCATGATAACAATCCTATTTACAAATATATTTAGAGAGGACCAGAAATGAAGTACAGTAAGTAAGGCAAAACATAGTCTAATCCCAACTCCGCAGCTCTGTCAAAGTTGAATCCTTTCATACTTCACGATGGGGTTGGCAACAGTAAGGCTTGCTCTCAATGTACAAACAGTTGTAGCAATTTCAAGCAATTGCTGCAAGCTTATATACTGAATACATGATCGACAGTTCAAATTTCTTCATTCTTCACAGGGGTCCAATTCTTACCAGCGGCAGTATCTCTCCTAGCACGTGATACGAACCCAAGAACATATCCAATGAAAGCTCCAAGCACTAGGATGGCGGCACCCTTAACAAACCATGAAAGTCTCGACTCCTTCTCACCCATGGGCTTAGAGCCACCACCAGCACTACTACTTCCACCACCATTGAGAACTTGACCTGACGCCAAAATCTCAACCATATCATGCACCTCGCCATCATGGTTTCCTACATAAGAAAGTGTAAGTTTCTCCTTTGAAGCAACAAGTCTAGTGTATCCAAACTCACCCCCACGGTACAAAGACCGCAGAGGCTGTGGGAATATTGGGACGTCAGGGTGGTCTGGTCTGGGTTCCCAGATAGGTTGCCAATCTTGTCCTCCCATTCCAATCACAACATGCACAGGGAATGCCTTCCAGTCCTCTCCACCGAGGCCCAAGCTTCCACACGTGAAGTTGCTTAGTGGACAAAACCTCTCATACCTGTGAACATGACCCCACAATGCAAGGGTCACCTTGTTCTTCACCAAAAGTGGTTCTAGGTGCTTGAGCATTCTGTTCCTCAATGGGGCATCTCTAAGTTCATTGCTCGTTGTGTACATTGGCCTGTGTCCTTGGACGACCACAAAAGGGGTCTTTGCTCTATCAACTGATTCTAAATCATTTTTTATGAAGTTATACTGGCTGCTCTCCGGAAGGAAATTGGTTTCAGTTGATATATAAACAAAATGCACCACCCCCACATCAAATGAGTAGTAAAGGTTTCGAGTGGCTGGGGCATGTGTTCCAGTTGGTTCTGAAGAACTACCAGGCATGTTGAACCGGAGACCATATGGTACTCCACATTCACCACCCCCATCTGTCCCATACACTGAGTAGGACCATTCAGGTTTCCATGGCTGTAATGGCCAGTCATATTCATGATTACCGATACACACGTGGTAGGGAACCTTGGAGGCAACAGGTTCAATCTGAGCAAAAAAGTTGTCCCACAACCATGAGTAGCCTCTTGCATAGCTGATATCACCAATATGTGAGATAAGGGCAGGCTTGTCACCGAGAGCTTCAATATCCCGACTGATCCACTTCATGGTTGATATGCTTTCCGGTTGAGTACGGACAAAGGTGTTGTATGGTGTTGCAGTACCCATGTCTCCAAATAAGAAAGCTACTGTTTCGTCTGAGTCCCCATCATGTGACATGAAGCTGTAAGTGACACTCCAACCCCCAGAATCACTTCCAGCCTATATTGTATAACGGCATTTCAAATAGTCAAATAAGTGCTACAAGGGACCACTTGAAGTAATATAAATGCATAATGTGGTATTTGTTCAATGGAGAAGGATTAATTGTTACTAATCATATTCACTTGATGGAGATTATTTAAACAAATTTCAAATACAACAGGGTACTGCAAAACTTAACATCGACTACAATATAACAGGCTTATTTAATACACAAAGAAAAAGCCTTTACTAGCTATGGCCTACTGGCATTGGGTCATATCACTTATTATGCAACCCATGAAGGGGCAACCTATTACTGATTTATGTAGTCCACAGCAATGGATCATAAGAATGAAATAATCCAAGCAAAACATAAACAAATTTTTTTTTTTTTGAATTTTAAAAAAGGGCCAAAAATAACAAAGTCAATTAGAAACTATACCAGCTAAAATACCGCAAAATAAACAACAGAGAAAGTGAAAAAGAGAGGAGAGAGTGACAAGACAGGAGAAGACAGAAAATAGGAGATAAAGAAGCACACGAATGGACTCACATTTGAATATGAGAACTGGATCTTCAGAGAGGATATAAGGTTTGGGGCAAAGTGGAGGAGGAGGAGGTTGATGCACGCATTTATGGGATTACATTATATATTGTGATCTGAGTTGGGGGGTTTTTAGCAGGGAAACCCTTCACATTCACTAGTTCTCATTTTGGAGATGGGGTCACTGGATAGGATGCTGATGAAAGCAACAGAGAAAGGTACATCACCGTTGAGTAGAAGTGAAGAGAACCTATTTCATGGGTGCGATAACGCCAGTTTACACAATTCCAACATTATCTACGGTATTTCAAGATTGAAAGTTAAGAGACAATGCATCCCTTTTCTTGCAATGCTTTATGGCACTCTCTCCTGAAGTAGCGATGCACATTCGTGCAAAATCACTAAGGATGGGAAGTTCTGTGAGAAGTCAATTCATAGACCCTTGTGCAGAAAAAGGTGTCCACCATTTCCCAGTCCTAATGAAGATTGAAAATTTTTTTGGAGACTTCCATTTGATCGTTGAAAAGCAGATGTGGAGACTTTCAGCAACTTCATTGAGGCTCACTTATAAATACAGTGAAGATGGAACACAAATGCAATACGTGGTAGGAGGAGGTGAAGGAAAATTTGGGTTGTGGTACCATTGTGTTCAATGCATAGTATTGGGAAGGAGAGGAATCAGCTCCACATTCAACCTAGTGGAGGTTCCTACTCCTTGCATTTTTATGGAGCAAAGTAAATTTCTTCTTTGATTCTTTCATTGATTTTTTGGGAAAATTGTATGCTGCATAGAATAGATAGAAATTTTGTTTGTGTACTTATTAAAAGGGAGGAGGTGGGTGTGTGGAGCTTATCTTTGTCCAGCATGTGCAAGTATTGCCTAGAGATAGATAGATATATATTCCCCAAACCTACAAAATCTCCATAAGTCCATCTAATTGAAAATGTTGACATCATTTCTATACACTTATAATAAAACTGATGGCATATACTAATCTACCTATCATCTTTTTTCAGGACCCATGCTACAAGGGTGTGTCAAAAGTTAACGATTCAAAACCATGGAACAAACACACAACTAACTAAATATATTATCCTCCTCTCATCATTGAGGTCATACAAATGACAACCAACATTACTTCTGTCACCTATATAGAACATCAAATTGGAAAACAAGAAAGTAATCTAATAACAACTACAAAAAGAGTAATATGCACATCACCTACTTCACAATCAACCAAAACTGGACCATGTAACCAAACAGAGGAATTGGACTGAGATTTCTAACAAGGAATCTAGTTTTAGATAGTTTACCTAACAAATTTCAAATTGAATATGACAATAACAATTCACCAATCAAGCAAACCAAACCTTGCTTCACCAATGATAAATTAATCAAATGGAAGTAACTTCTTTTCTCGCCAACCAAAAAGACATACCCGATAATCAAAATTCAACAATTAGACAAATATTTCACTTAAAATTAGCTAATATTTGAAATTTCATGGAACGAAACAACCAACCCAAACACTTCTAAACATACTTTCCCTTGCAAATACTGAGCACATAACTGAACTACCAGACATATTAACTAAACACTTCAGTAATTCACAGATTCATGAATAATATGTATAAACACATTGAATTTCTTTTTTTTGGTCAATAACTACTTCAAGGTCGGGGATGACGAAATTCAAACAAGCCACCTTAAAGATGCAACAGGCAAACCTAAACACATTGAATTACCCATATATGTAAAACATATAACCAATTATTTATGAAATAATTACCTTGTAATAATATCTCTTTCCTTTCTTCAAATTGGTCATGATTCCATCGTGTATGTACCCAGGATCTCTCCATCCAACACTGTGATTGGCTGGTGAGTCACACATGTCCTCTCTCTCATAGCGACCCACCTGTGTAGCCACAACCCGATCCATCTGATCAGGACCCAACCCATATTTCACAAAGCTCTCTTTCCCATCATGGGTCAAATACATGACTCTCATCTCATCTTCCTGACCCGTCAACGCCAGATGGACCTGCTCGGGCCCAACATATCCGAAACCCAATTCGTTTGATTCAGCCAGCAGTTGTTTCGTCCCCGGCAATGGGTTCTGATCGTGGTCGTGGCGGGACGGATCGACCTCGGCATCGGTCCATCGAAAGATCCGGAAAGTGTAGTTTGATCGGAGGTTGATTAGTGCGAAGGTGAGGGAACCCGACCCGGATTGCCATTCCGGCGAGTCGGAGAGGAAGAAATAGCCGATGAAGTGGCTGTGAGCCGAGGTCGGTGGTGAATATATGCCGACCCAATCGCGTTTGGAGGGTGACTCAACGCCAGACCATCGGATCGTTACCTGGTCGCCGGATTTGCATAGAGTTTCTGGGGAGAGAGAGATTGAGACATGGGAGCTGAATGATAAGTTGAGGAGCAGAGGGAGGAGAGAGAAGAAGAGGAGGAGAGATGTTAGGCGGATCATTTGGGTTAATTTTGAATTCGGGGAGGTGGTTTAGAGGTGGTGGTGGTGGATGATGAGAGTGGTGGGGGATGGGGAACAAAGAGACGATGTTCTGAAACTATTATATGATCTGAATATTTGTTAATTGGAATCAAATGAGGTATATTCCTCTTAAAATACTAATTTCGAAGGTGAAGGTGTTGAAATATCTTAGGTGCCCACCTAGATGTAGATCACATGTCAATATCTGATGCAATTGAAAGATATTGCTAACCAAAAAAATATTCTTAGACATCTCTCTCACACACACAACCCCTCAAACATCTGCTAATCGGCTCGAGTTTATTGAATTTTAATATCTTTAATATTAAAATACTAATAATTGTCTGTGCCTGTATAACAAAAAATTAGATTAAAATTCAAAAAATATTACATTACCTAAAGACTTTTTACAACCTAAAATAACTTATAATCAAACATAATAATTATCATAATTTACCATACCACCACAATAATTAATATATATTCAACCATCAACATATATCCAATCACTAAAACATCAAGTTAGTCCCTACTAATTTCAAGAAATTTTAATAGAATTTTCTTTAAAAATAAGTCTCCAAAAAAATTTAAACCTGTCTAAAAAACTTACAATCATCATAATACATCATATTACCACAATCATCACTACATACCCAAATCACCAAAACAACCATCGTTCCATACCCAAAATCATTAGTTAACTTTACAAAAGACGGAACACAAAAAATACACACATGCACAAAATAGAGAAATAACTTCGTATTCTTTACAACTTACACCAAGTATCCTTCAATGTATACCTGAAAATATTTGAAATATAAAACTTATCGAAATATTTGAGTCAAAATAAAACAATTGTAAATCTAAAACATAAGACCCCTTACTTTTTTTGTTAGTTAGATTCAATATAATTAATTACATTACCCTGAATTATCTAAAAAACAAATGAGCACACATATTTGTATGTAGTTGGGGGGGGGGATGATTTAGATTGATATAAGTAAGAATTTAGAGAGATTGTAACAAATTATCAATTTATTTAGGAAACGATATGGAGGAATGTAGAGACTTACAATCAAATAAGGTTTTCTTAGTACCATTTTAACAAATGGTTCATTTGCTTAATGATTTCAATCATAAATCTATATTGGTGACATTATAATGGTGTGTGAGTTTGAATTGTGAGCGTTTGATTGGTTACAGTTATGTGTGTGTGTTTGTGCATGCATTGTGTGTGTTGTGTGTTTGCATGAGAAGTAGAGAAATATTGAGAGTCTTAGTAAGAGAGACTTTCACACCTAGACAATTGTTTGGTCAGTGGTGGGTTAGTCATCGTCAAAGGTGGACAGGTTGGTACTGGATTGCATATCATTTAACTTTCTTAAATGTCTTTTTCATCCCTTTAAACCTTCTCTTCATCACTATCTTTAATGTCCTCGTATCAATACGAACGTACTTTGCCCAATGAGGAGAATGCACAACCACCTAAATTATTCACATAAATAATAAAATTAACACAATATTTATATTGTAAGAATAGTAAAGTTATTTTGATGCAGTGACATAAAGTAGATTTACCTGATTACGTCGGCCCCATCCACAAAGGTCCATTGTATATACTCTATCGTTCTCGTTAACAAATTCACTCAAATCTTACAAAGAATGAATCTCATTGTAAAATTAAAAATTGAAATGTTGAAAAGATTACATAATTCAGTAGAAATAAACTTGTTTAAACTATATCATTTACTTGTCGTAAAAATCTTATAACAAAACTTCTGGGTAAACAATATTTGTAGTGCAATTTGACCTATCTTCCGAAAGGAGGACAATAATACGATCCGAAGATGTGCATCTAGATAATGCCACATAAAGGTGTCCATGACTAAAAACAGGTGTCTACAAATCAATCCCAACGAACTTGACAGATTATCCTTGGGCTTTATTAATTGTCATAGCATAAGTTAATCAAACAGGAAACTGAAGTCTTGTCATTCGAAAAGGCAAGTCCAAAGATGGTGTCAATTATATTCTCGAATGAAGACTAAATTGCCAATTTTATCTCCATTTAATATCTGAGCTTCGATTACCCTTGAGCCACATTTAACAACCATCAATCGCGTGCCATTACAAAGTCCATCTTTCGGTGCAATATTTCGTAACAACATTATTGGACATCCAACTTTTAATTTCAATTTAAACGGTGGCAATCATGAAAGATTCAGCGGGTTTAAGTACTCATTAGGATATCAATTCCTAATGGTACGGTCAAGCTCATCACCTTCAGACATTTTATCTGCAGCTAAAAAAATAATTGTCTCTCTCGAAGTAATATTTAGTGCTGCAACATTTTATATCACTGACGTCGTCATTGCGAGTACATAGAATTGTGCGTTCAGTGAAAAAGGTTGGAGTCACTATACCAACCACATCCAATTGTAGATAGATTCTAAATATCAATTCTTTTAGATTGTGACACCAGTTTATTGTAGATGGAAGTTGCACAATTTCTTGCGGATTGGTCCCAATCTAAAAAATAAAAGTATAATCAGTCACAAAGTGAGATTTAATTCAAAGCATCATGTTATAAAATTCAATTCAAGGTGGAATGAAATATTACCTCCATCAAGAATTTAGCAAAAATTAGTATTTCGAACGTCTGTGTGAGTTAATCGTATGTTTAAACCCAGAGTCAAAACACATATATCTTTCTATAGCAGAGATCGTCTTAATGATGCACCCACAATTTGCTCGCAAAAGCCTTTAGAAATAACAGGCAATATTTGTCGAAAGTCTCCACCCAAGACAACAGTGATACCCCCAAAAGGTCTTTTATCGTCTCTAATATCTTGAAGTGTGCGATCGACTGCCTCAATACAGTATCGATGCTGCATAGGAACTTCATCCCATATTATCAATTTTGTTTTTCTAAATAATTCGACATGCATTGATTGTTTAGTGAATTCACATATTGAATTATCTAGGGTTTTCAAAGGAATACAAAATGTAAAATGTGCAGTGCGCTCCTTACCAATAATAATGATGCAATACCAGATGAAGCCACAATAACAACAACATATCCATAGATACACAATTTGGTTGCAATGGTATTATACAAAAACGTTTTTTCCGTCACAGCACCTCCACTCAAAAAGAAAGTAGTTGCTATGTTTTCACATACTGACGTTGTGACAGCAGTACAAGCAGCAAGTTGTGCATCATTAAGGCCTTCAACATTAATTTGTGCATCAAACTGTTATGCTTCATTCTGAAGTTGTTGATGGTCAAACAGTAATTTATTTTCAACTATTGCATTCCAATTTCTAATTGGTTGTGGCATGGGTGGAAAGTCAACTAAACTCTTCCCTGACTCATAGAGCAATTGATTCATCAAATATAAGCCATAATCTTCAATTTGATCATCAGTTGGATTCAAAATATCAAACATAGTACGAATCTTGTGTGCTAAATCACCATAGTGGTGGTGGCGACAACAGCGGTGGTGGTGGTGGCGGGCTGGCGGCGGTAGTGGTGGCGACGGTAGTGGCGGCAACGGTGGTGGTGGTAGCGGTGGTGGTGGTGGGGGTGAGGGTGGTAGAGATAGTGGTGAGACAGTTTCAAACACTATTTTTTTTTAAAGTATTTATGAAATAATTTCTAAAAATACTTTTAAAAAGTCACTCCAAACACACCCTTAACCCCCTATTTTTTCTATTAAACTTAGGGTGTTAATATTAGCCGTTAAATTAATTTTGAAGTAAAATTTAAAGCGATCTCAACCAGAAATAACAAAATTCTTTTTGTTTATCTTTTGATATTGAAATTGTAAGCTACATTATTATATAGATTAATCGAGCTCTAACTCGAATCAATTACAAATTTTCGTAATTTGTTGTATTGATTGTGCGAATAACCATATTAAAGTTTGTGTGAATGTTGAGCGACGTACTTGAATCTTAATCATGCCCATATTTAACTTTTTAATTTTTTTATTTTAAATTCACCAGATAAATGTTAGAAAATTTTAATTTCACACGAAATAGAAGAGGAATTAAAGCGGTTTAATATATGGTGAACAAGTATATTAAAAGAGACGATAGAAACCATAGAAATCCAACAATTATTAATTTGTCACATTATAAATAAACGTTGAGTTTTAGATATGCAATTGTTAGAGAATATTACATTGATGTTATCTTTTGGTATATAGATGTATTTGTAATGTGTCGAACCATGAATGTGTTTGTATAAAAAAATTATATCATTTAATAATATTAATATAATATAATATAACCGTGACACATAATATTTATTCGATTGGAGTAACCTTGCTATCCCTACTTGTTGGTAAGTGATCGAACGAAAAAGAAAAAACTCAACTAGGCTGGGACCGGTTTGCTTTAAAGCAGGCTAGGGTTGGACCTCTAGTGGCTATCCCTTTTCTTTTTTTTTTTTTAACTTTTTTTTTTTGGAGAGTGGAAAAGGGAATGTGAAGAAGGATTTGAACCCTTGATCTCAAGAAGGCAAAACTTTTATAAAATAAGGAGTACCATTAGACCAAAGACCTATTGACAAGTCCTTTGTAAGTTGTGATTACTAGGTTAAATTTAACAACTTTAATTGATTAATTTTTTTTAATTAAGACTCAAATTAGGAGATGTTTGATAACTTTTAATGCTTAAAACATAATATTTTAAGCACTTAGGAATCGTTTGGATACCGTATAAAAAAAAATGGATTATACTAGAGAATACAAGACAATCCTAGATAGACGGATAAAAATGTAAGGTTAAATAAGGGATAAAGATAATACTAATTTTAGTCAAACATTTATTAAGTACGATATTAAGATATGGATAAAAAATATCAAATCTAATATAATATTTGGTTAGGTAATTTATTCAATGGTATTAATGAGTGGACTAAAATTCACTCAATCATCTCCAATTTAATCCTCCTTTATAGTGATCTACTATTTCATAGGACTGTATCAATAGATCCAAAAACGATGTAAAATGAATATTTTAAAATAATATTAGAATTAAATAAGCTTGCTTTAATTATGTATAAGTGTATTTTGGATATATGCACTTGTTTATTATTAATGTTGTTGTCAATATAATTTTTATTAAAATAAATAACAAGGAATGATCACATCAATTTTTCTTAGATCGAGGGTAAATTTGTAAAATAATGATATAATATACCTTAG